AGAGCTGAGCAGAGGTCACAAGGTCAAATGCAGCAGCTCAGTGTGTGTGTGTGTGTGTGTGTGTGTGTGTGTGTGTGTGTGTGTGTGTGTGTGTGTCAGTGTTTAGCCTACATTACAGGTTGGAGAGTGTGAAGCATGGAGGCGTCCAGCGGCTCTGATGCTCCTGGCAGGAAGTGGAAGTCCTTCTGGTGGAAGTAACGGAGGTACTGTGGCTGTGGTTGCTGAACAAAGAGTGTCATTCCTTCACTTCTGGGAGGAAACAGCGGGAAAACCTACGGCACCGTGGGCTCTTCAAACTGCAGACATGAGAATAAGGCAAAGTGAGCTCCAGATACTGTTTCCTCCAAAAAAAGAGGCAGAAAGCTCCTCTACAGTAGCACTTTTTAATCTGGTTTTAATCCAATATGACTGTTCAGCAAAGTGGAGCACTAACAGGCTGCACACCGGTTGCTCATGATAGACTGGTTCCTGGTGATAGACTGGTTCCTGGTGATGGACCGGTTGCTCGTGATAGACCAGTTGCTGGTGATGGACCGGTTGCTCGGGATGGACCGGCTGCTCGTGATGGACCGGCTGCTCGTGATGGACCGGTTGCTGGTGATGGACTGGTTGCTGGTTAAAGACCGGTTGCTGGTGATAAAGACCGGTTGCTGGTGATGGACCGGTTGCTGGTGATGGACCGGTTGCTGGTGATAGACCGGTTCCTGGTGATGGACCGGTTGCTGGTGATGGACCGGTTGCTCGTGATGGACCGGCTGCTCGTGATGGACCGGTTGCTCGTGATGGACCGGCTGCTGGTGATGGACCGGTTGCTGGTGATAGACCGGTTGCTGGTGATGGACCGGTTCCTGGTGATGGACCGGTTCCTGGTGATGGACCGGCTGCTCGTGATGGACCGGTTGCTGGTGATAGACTGGTTGCTGGTGATAGACCGGTTGCTGGTGATAGACCGGTTGCTGGTGATGGACCGGTTGCTGGTGAAAGACCGGTTCCTGGTGATAGACCGGTTGCTGGTGATGGACCGGTTGCTGGTGATGGACTGGTTGCTGGTGAAAGACCGGTTTCTGGTGAAGGACCGGTTGCTGGTGATGGACCGGTTGCTGGTGATAGACCGGTTGCTGGTGATGGACCGGTTGCTGGTGAAAGACCGGTTGCTGGTGATGGACCGGTTGCTGGTGATGGACCGGTTGCTGGTGATAGACTGGTTGCTGGTGATAGACCGGTTGCTGGTGAAAGACCGGTTGCTGGTGATAGACCGGTTGCTGGTGATAGACCGGTTGCTGGTGAAAGACCGGTTGCTGGTGAAAGACCGGTTGCTGGTGATAGATTGGTTGCTGGTGATAGACCGGTTGCTGGTGATAGACCGGTTGCTGGTGAAAGACCGGTTGCTGGTGATAGATTGGTTGCTGGTGATAGACCGGTTGCTGGTGATAGATTGGTTGCTGGTGATAGACCGGTTGCTGGTGATAGACCGGTTGCTGGTAGACGGACTGAGGAGACAGATGAAGCATCACTGGAGGAGCAGGCTGCAAGAGAAGAAAATAACACATTCATCTTCAAAAAGATCATAAAGATTGAATGGCTTTATCTGTCATATGCAGACTAGCTTCAGCAGAGTTTTGGCTAGGAAATGATTGAGTCTTATTCTCCTCCAACAACGCATATGCTGTACATAAAAATGTAATGCAGGTTAAATCTTCTTATTCTACCAACTGTGAAGCACAATTTTAAATACCCAATACATTCACTTTACTTTGAATAACTTGCTTTTAAAAAACGCTATTGAGGTGAAGTGTGATATGAGTGTTTACTGACAGGCCACTGGGGGGCAGGAGGGCTCCTGTTGGGGCAGTATGGAGGATGGAAGTAGGGCACTCCGTTGTTGTAGGTGTGCGGAAACCCTGCAAATGTGTTCAGGTACTTGCTGTCACAGCTCATCGGCAGAAGCACGGGGAAGTAAGGGGTCGTCCTCTTAGCTGAGAGAAAAAAGAAAGCAGGAAGAAGTAGTTACTCCCCTTGTTTTGTGGGACAGTAACTATTTGTGAAAAGCCAGCACTCAGCTCCTTGGATATTTAAAAAAAACATCTAAAAAAGAAACAGAGGGTGAACATGTCAAAGTCTTTTTTTATTGGAAAAGTTGACATGCTTTTGGATTCAAGTTAGAAAGAAATAGGAGATTATTATGAGACATAATTCCAATTGAACGAATATCAACCTTAAATATATTTATAAGAATATTGTTATATTTCTATTTCTTATTTGGCATGTGTATATTAATGTATTATTTTTTCTGTTTATGTTCCATCTATGTATATTTATGCACAAAATGTATAAAAAAAAAAAACGTATCTGAATTCAAGTTATTTTAGAGTTCCTACTGTTGTAAAAAAAAAATGTTTCCCATAAAAAATGTTGTGCATTACAAGTAAAAAGGTACCTTCATATTTTGAAATGATGACAAAAAAAGTTAATATGCTGAATACAAAAGTCAACTTACGTGGTCCTGAGGCTCTGGGCTTGCGGACGGCTTGAGCGATGCAGAGCTTCTTGCCTTTCAAACTTACTCCATTAGTCTTTAAAAAAAAAAAAAAGCTGCGTTAGACAAAAAAATCCAGATATTCAACTTTATAATTATACATTGTTACGGCTGCTGCCTTCCTGGTCCTTTTAAGTGTGTTAACCTGTGTTATATGTAAATGAGCTGTGCGGTTGCCCTGACGTCATTGGCTGCCATCTCCTGGTCCGCCCCCTGAAGATTGTGATTGGAGCACGCCGGGCCCGACGCACTCCAATCGCAGCGCGCAGACGCCGCACACCTGCTGGAGATGACTACAAAGCCTGGGGACAATCATCACTCTGGAGGCTCTGCTGTGTGAGCGGATGCCTCTCGGTAGTCGCTCTACGAATCTGTTAACAGCGGTTAACTCGTGTGGTCTGTGTTTGTCAGTATTGTTGTGGTTAGATGTGCTTAGATTAGTTTAGTATTGTTTGACTGTTGTCCTCTACCTTAGCTGTGTTTTCTTACAGCCTCCCTTTGTTAGTTGTACCACTTTTAAAGTGAGGTTTTTTTTCGTTCTTTATTTAGTGTGTGAGTATTTATTTTCCCTGTATGCGATAAGACTCCTTTTTTAGAGTCCTCCTTTTGTTGGTTATTTATCAACCTGTGCCCTTTTGGCCTTTTTGTTTGTTCCAGGCTGCATGCCTGCCACTTTGTTTACCTGGCTATTTAAAATAAACCCTTTATAATTATACCAATTCCAACTGGTGTGTGTTGTTTTCCTCTACCCCTAGAGGGGGATGTAACAGTCCCTTAGACAAGGTTTAGTGACTCATATGGAGACTTTTATGGCTTGGACGGTAACTGTCCAGGTTATATTTATAGTATTATATTACAAAATTGAGGAGTACATAAAAACTTCAAGGTAGATGTTAACTACAGCTGAGGTGCATTTCTGCAAGAAACGTCCAATCACTAAGCTTAATATATTCTGTTTTGTTTCCAAATGATGTTGTTAAAAAACAATTGTGTAGTCAGCTAGAGCAACTGCAAGTTTGCACCAATAACAAACATTAACTTTCCTGCCCCTTCTTTTCTAACCTACAACGGATCCAGTTTGCAATAATAACAATAATACTACTGTACATACAGACATACTGTAATAACTCAAGGTAAAACGTTACCACTTTGGGCAAAACAGAATCAAATTAGGCTGGCAATAGATCTCACATCTACTTTTATTTCACCATCATGCTACTCTCCGTCAATTCTAGGGTGCATGATAATAATGATGCAGCCGCTCTCATTTACTGAAAGTGGAGCTGGTGAGCCTCCTGGGAGAGAAGAGAGAAAGAAAGAGAGAGACTAAAAGACATAGATATGCAAATGAGCACACATAATGTTCTCTGACATCTGTGAAAAAGCCCTTGGAATAAAGGAAGATAATAAGTAGGCTACGCCCTCTGAACCCTGACAGTTTCTGGAAGTTATTGAGACATAGGGTTTGGAACCGAAACTCGGTTCCAGATGAGAACCGATAAGAAAATGCTTGGTACCGGGTACCCATACAAAATACACAATTTCGGTTCTGCTTGACGGTTCCTAAACGCGGGGTGTTTCTCAATCTCGAGTAAAGCTGCTGCAGAGCCTCTATTTCAAGCATACTACGTCATCGAGTGCCGCCGAAGTACTGTTCCAATGCCCGGCATACTTGGAATTCTACCGAGCCCGAAGTACTTCGTTTGGAGAAATGTCGAGGCTGCACATGTGTAGACTCCGCGGTCTTAAAATCCCCACAATGCTTTGCGCACGGACCAATTTCCCCAAATCTGTGGCGGAAAATGTAAGGCGGGGCCTCTCATATGACGAACACCTGCACACTTGCTAGCCTGTTCCACTCTTCATTTTCCGAATGCCAGGAAGAATTCTTGCCTCGCTTCTGAAGCAAGACGCTCGGAAGACATGTGCTACCAAGCAAGCGTACTCGAGATTGAGAAACAACCAGGGTAACCCCTCGATTCCACAGAACGGCCGGTCGTCAGCGGGCCGGTCGTCACCGCCCTTCATTTTTTTATACGGCATCATGTAAGTTGCGCTGACAGGCGACAGAGGTCCACAGTTGCCCCCCAGCGAGGTTCCCCCCACCCTCCCGTAGACAGTTCAGGAGCTCAGTCACTTCATAACACGCGGTAATCGCTCTGAAGTGAGGCTCCACTACACTAAAAAAGAAAAAGACAAGGCACAGTGTAATGCCTGTTAATAGCTTGCCACAATAGCTCAGTTAAAATAAAGCACAGCTATTGTGCAATACATTTGTATTGCATGTATATTTTTTATTTGCAAAAATGTCAGTTAAAGCTTAAAAGAATAAAGATATTTTTGTTATCTAAACGTTTGACCTCTTTCTTTTACAATTTTGGAATCGAAACGGGGAATCGACAAGAACCGGATTCGATAAGCAGAACGGGAATCGATACATTTCAAACGATACCCATCCCTATTGAGACATCACAGAAAATAAAGGGAAAAGCTTGCAGGAGACATTGAGGAAGAAGTTAATGTTTCAATTCTTAAAATGTATATTCTTTATTATAGTTACCACTTTTAAACAGGTAGTACATTCTCCATTATTTCCAGGAGCAAACAGCAGCTTGTGACAGGACAAACGTTGCTGCAGCATCAAAATGCCGACACACAGCGTCGGAGACATTAGCTGCAGAGATTCACTGAACCTCTGAGAGGACAACCAGGAGTCGTTCTTATTCCTGTCACACAGCCTGCAGCTCAACAAAACACTCCTCAGACAAAAAAACACACTGGCGGAAAAGGAGCTTCGGCCGTGATTGTTTTACGTTCGGGCTGTCACGGTGTCTAACATAGAAAGGTCATGCATTCACCACACAGCAGCAGCATAGTGGTTGTCTGTCTGTTTGACGAGTTATGTTGTTGTTCTTTTCTCCCGCTGTTGTAGCTTAGCCTCCTAACCTTGTAAAGTCTTTATTTTTAATTTAACTAAAATTGACTGACTGACAATTTACGAGACTGGAGCTGGATGTCAGTCTGAGGAGAACTGTAGGTTAGACAGAGATAGATATTTTCTCCAGGGCCAAGCTGGCTCAATTCACAGGGCGCTGCCCGCTAGCTGCCCCTGTGTGGGTTAAGCCTCCTCTGAGGGGCCATGCCCGGATAGACCAAGCAGCTTTGCCAGCTCCCTCCTGTAAGCCATTGTAAGCAGCATTAAAATGGGCAGAGAGCAAAGCACAGACAAGAGTGAACTGAGGAGTGAATGCTCTACCCCCCTGAGTAATTGTCTTAACTGAGGCAGGAGGAAAAATGAGAAAGATAAAAACAGAGGAAACACGGTTTAAAGGAGATTTAAGAAATAGAGATGGTTCGATAGGATTTTCATCTGTTATACAAAGGACTGTGGTTTAGGAGGCAGGGCTTTGGCCATTACAAAACACTTATACAATGGCTCCCAATGTGTGTGTCCTGTGCACCCTTAAAATGAGGGGAAAGAATATGTCTTCTCTTGTTATTTTAAGTATGCATTTCAGTCGAGTTGATACTGATGTATAAAATGGTGCTCATTGGAAATTAAAAAAACTTATAATAATAAACTCACCATTTCTATTTCTATCTTGTTTTAAAATGCACATCTAACTATCCTAATCGACTAAATTGACGTACTAGATGGTTTGTTGCACAGATCTATGAACAGTGTTGTGTGATCCCACGTAATCATGAGATTGCATGGATCCAGCTGCTCTGCTGTCCTAAAGGCATCTCTGTGGTATTTATTTTAAGCTCCTTAAAAAATGTTTTCTTCTGAACAGATGATACAATTTCGTTAAGTATATGAAGGGGTCAATTCTAGTGAGTAACCATCAGACAATCATCATTATATATATATACTATACAGTTTCCCTGACATTGCATTAGTTTTCCAGCCTAAACCTCTACTATTTTGGTTCGCTCTTGCCGTTATCTTAAGGGTTGTTTTCCACTCTAAAATCACATTGTTCACAACCTGCCCAACACCAAATGGCAGAAGAATGACAAAGTTAGCAATTAGCTCGTGAAAACAGTGGAGTAGCTTTCCCTCCTGATCTGTCAGAGGCCAAGACGAGTTAAAAGAGTGTCAATATTGGACTTATATTTGCCAGGGGGACGAGACACAATCCTTAGTATTTGCTGGAAAAGCACATTTACAACTGTTTGCTAAGAAGTGTGTTCAGCATAGCGTTATGTTAGCCTGCTAATTACCTCTTGTAGTGTCTCAGCAGAAGGTGCACAAAGCCATCACTGAGCAAATGTCAACGGTGTGTAACATTTGCACACAAATAACAATCTATTCTTTTCATGGCTGTCTTCCATCTCTTATGGCAATGTGTAAAGTAAACATCTACAGTGCTATCCTTTTAATCCTGTTGTGTGCTGTTCAATAAAAACACTTGACGTCTTAACTGATTCCCAGAGTCTGTTGTACTCTGAGAAAGGGTGGAGGTTATCTGTTTTATTGTGTTGCGCTGTTGGAGGAGCCTGTGACCTAAGATGTTTCATTGTCATAACTACACTGTAGCTATGCACACATGACAATAAAAGCCTTGAAACTTGAGGTTGCTGCTGAGCTCATCTACCAGGCTAAGGAGGAAGATTGAAAATCCCATCGAGACAGCACTTTACTTGGGAGATACTTCCAGTAAAAGTCTTTCAATTATAAGCTCCAGTACCTCCGATACTTGCGTCACTTTCACTGTGCACTAAAGAAGAGAGGAAGGGAACCTTAAATGGCATCTGACTGGGGCGGTCTACAATCACGTGTTGCTAAGCCTCTCACACAGCAAGCTTCATTCAGTTCTCCACATGCCGCATCAGGGAGAATGAGCGACACATAAATAAGCCACATTTCCATAGCACCCATCCCTGCATGAGTATTAATGTTTCATGTGAAGGAGAGCAGTTAATGTATGCAGGAAGGAGCTGTCCAGTGCATGCATCCTGTAAACTGAGAGCACCCACATATCCTGAGATCTTTAATTCAGAGCTGCAGTGCTTCATAGTCAGGCTTGCTAA